GAGTCTGATCTCGTCCCAACCCGGGCCAGCTCGAACTGGCTCCGCTCACCCTGAATTTCACAGGGTGAAATTCTTCTGCAGCCACTTCTGCAGCTTTTCCCGAGCAAGAGTTTAACCTGCTTGCTGGAGACAAGACGAGCTGCTTACTAAGGCTCAATCCTGGATCTCCGTCTCTGGGCCAACGCCCCCCCCCCCAGCCCCCGCCCAATACTTTATGTCGATTGTCAGGGTGCCTTTTAAGAACCTCTCTTCGCCGCGCATTTAGACTTTTTACATTTTGGGTGTAAGACTTTTTGCAAACATTGTAAGGTCCTTTGTAAACTAACTTAAGCCAAGTTTCTTCTTAGAGCAGCCTTCCTCAGCCTGATAATCATGAGAAGTGTTTAAGGCTTTTAACTCCCAGCATTGCTAAGCCAGAGTCACCACCGACAGATCTGGGGGAGGCTGCCTTAGAAATTACCAGCCGAGGCCGTAAAGCAACGCCTATTGAGTGGGGAGTAAGCGGCCTACAACAGGACGGCGTTCACTTCCTTAGTAAACACACCGCGATTTGTTTTGCCCATTTGGCCGGCTGTCTTCGGGGGGCGAAGAGACAAAAAGTACGCGGGTACAAAAGTTGCGGTCTCCCAAAGAGCTTTCGTCTTGCCCTCCCTTCCATTCGCAGCAGCCATCCTGGACCCCGGATGGCGAAATCGGGGCAAGCCGTGCAGGAGGTGCTGGAAACACCGGCTCCGGTCGCCGCCTTTCAACCTCTTCCTCTGGTGTGAGGGGAGGAACCTCCTGCTCTCCCCTACCCCCGCTCCCCCGCGCCGGTCTGGAGGGGGGAGGAGGCGGCGAGAAACCCTCGGCTCGTCACTCCAAGTGCCGGCTCTTCCTTTCCCGGACGAAGGCGAAGGGAAGCAACCCGATGCAACCCCACCCAACCAGTGTTTCTGGACTCGGTAATTGCCTACTTGAAGACGCACGCACATGCACACACACACACCACCGACTGAAAACACGCCAGAATAACAATAATTATGTTGGCGCAGACTCTGGAGAAGGGAGAGGTGCCCATTTAAAATAAATAAATAAATCCGCCTTTCCCACAGACCCGACGCCTTGTCCTCCTCCTTGTCATGTTAACGCGCGAGGGAAAAGGAATCCACTGGATCGATCCTTAGGACCACCGACTGGAGCGGGTGCGGGAACAAGGAGCTAAAGTCAAATTCCTCGCATGGGTTGCGGAGAGAACCCCTCTGCAATAAGTAAGGAGGGGTCCTTATGCCTGCTAGTTCAAGATTACGGCCGTCTATAGTATTCATGAGAGAGTGAATAAATCGACGGCGCTGCCGCGATTAAATCATAGGGACCCACATTTACGCTGGGAAGTCCGCAGCCAACCTTGGGAACGCGGTGGCAGTCACTGTTTCTACGCCTGTCGCCAACTAGCTGCAGTCGAACCTGTTTTACTCCAGACTAAGATCACCGTACCCCGCTCAACTCTTCTCCTAGCGCCTGGGAGCAGGGTGGGTCACGCCAAGTATTTGGCTAGGTTGAGTTGCGGTTTAGGGCAAGTTGAAAAGGAGCCTGGGCTTCCATTTCTGGTGGGCATTTTGCGTGAACTCGACCTTTCGGTTTCCATCCGAATTGTGTTTTGGGGGGCATGCCAGATGAACCTTAAACCAGGGGTTACGACCCACAAACCCGTCTTTTAGAGTTAAGCTTAGCGGTTGTTCGAAACCAGCCGCACAGCAACCTTTCAGGTCAAGGATTGGCATTGTTTCTAGCCGCGGGGCGCCCTGTATGGTCCCCCTTCCCACGATGGGCGCGGAGGCGCTAGATTGTCTCCGTCGCTTCTGGCTGGGACGCTTCCCGGACTCGCCAGTTTTACCGACCTCCAAACTCTCCGCGCTGCCACGCAACGCAAAACTGCAAAGACCCAGGAAAGTGCGTGGCCAAGAAGGCCACGGCAAATTCCAAAAGGTTATGTTGGTAAACAGTGTTAAGGCTACATGGGAAAGAGGGAAGGCTAGATTTAAACAACAATTAAACATGATTTCGGTTGTTAACATCTGAAGAATTTCTCCCAGGGATTAGGATTCCTGATCACAGAGAAGCCGCGGGTAAACTACCTCTGCGGGCCTAACCGAAAAAGGGAAAGGAGCCTTGTATTTTACTTAAAATTCAAATCTGCCCATTTTCCTCCCCTACCTTTTCAGTTTGATCTCAAAGATCACAAAGGAATTGAAGCCATAAAGGCCCTTTGCTTTACAGCCTTTATGGCTTTTATTAGTGAAATTTGGGGTTCTGGATTATCACAATTCTATAAGGTACCTGCCAATCCTCTGCTTGGGTAGTCCTATTAAATTGTTTTACTAATTCTTTTCCAGGTAAAGGATACAAGGCTGTGCCTTCAGTTCAATTGAAGGCAATAGGAGTAACTGAATTTTTGTAAAATCCCTGGCAAAGCTGGCCTCCCACTCAAATTAGCAACACTGTAAAATTAATTAACGTCTGAAAATAGATTGATTGATTCATGCTTGAATATAGCAGTAGCACTTAGATTAACATACCACTTCATAGTGGTTTACAGCACACTATAAGCGATTTACAGAGTCAGCATATTGCCCCAAACCATCTGGATCCTCATTCTACCGACCTCAGAAAGATAGAAGTCTGAGTCAACCTTGAGCCCGCCAGGATCAAACTCCAGGCTGTGGTAGTGTTAGCCTGCAATACTGCATTCTAACCACTGAGCCACAAGATTACGAGCTTCCATCCATAACTTGGTGATAAATACAGATACTGCTCCTCCTTTTAATCTTCAACTTCTTAGGGATTCATTTAATCCCAGAGACTGGTGAATGTCCCAAGAGAAAACGGCTTGAAGCCCAAGGTCATCCATTATCATCCAAAAATCATAGAGGCCAGCAACATAATGATATTCCCAGGGAAGGGTTCTTTATTTCAGTTTCTCAGCGATCCAGTAGGATAACAACTTCCTGATCTCCACTACCTGAATTTTGGTCAAGCATGAAGTGCTTCAAAAAGTCTCCCCTTTCAGTCGTGCTTGAGCAGCTGGCTAGGGCAAGGGGGTAGCACCATATTTTCCCAATTGTAGTACTTCACTCAGGAAATGGGCTGGTGCACTGCAACCCAACTTCATATCAGAGGAACTGCTGAATGAGCAAAGGGGCAGCTAAGTGTTCTTTTCCCACAAGCAGGGCAAGATAGGATGACCCTCAGAACTGTGAATCAGGAAGAGGAGTCTTTTATCCCAGAGAGCAACAAATGAAACAAAGCCAAGTCTCTATTTACAAAGAATCATATATATTTCAATTCACAAAAAAGCAGGTACTGTATTAGACATTCCACATTTGCAGAAGACACCTACTTAAGCTTCACTTATGAGACTGTGAGGCCAGTTCAATAATATTTTTTTTCCTTTTACAAATCTTAAAAGAGAATTAAATAACTCACACCCACATACATTCAATATATGTAACTATGTACATAGACAGATACACTCACATGTCGGTCTAGCTTTTATATACCCATGTGTGTGCCTCTAGAAACCCACATCACAGGGGGCATATACCACCTTTGACACCTGAGGAATTAAGGAGAGCACTTAAAGATCGTTTCTACCCAGGAAATATACTTCCTAGGCATTCTCCCCTCTTCCCCACTCCAGCTCTAAACTATATGGAACCACTGTCAACCAACACATATGCTGACATGCTTCCTCACCCCTGGTTGAACTCAACAGATTTGCAGAGCTACAGAAATGCTTTGAGCTGACTGGAATTTAGAATATTGGTTTTCCTTTAAATAAGAAAGGGAGGGTGAACAGGAGGGGAAAAATGAAGCTTACTTCTTCAGCACAATCTAAACAAAATGTCCATGTTGGTATTGGTGGAAAAATCCCACCTCCAATAAGCAGGGAGGAGATAGTGGGCTATGAAACAATATTTCTATCTGAGCCCAGAAATGACCAGGTCATTTCTGCTTCTTGCAACTTGGGGTTCACCTGATTTTCTCCTCGTCTCTTCTCATTAGGCCACACATAGAGTTTCACTCCCCGCAATTAGAAAGTGTGTTAAAAGGGCCCAGTGAGTCAGCCATTCAGAAAAAGAACAGAGAAGTCAACACATCCCCCTGCTAGGCCCTTAGAGGCTGTGAGGCAGATTTTGTGCTTTTTGAACCAACAAAAGATGCTTAAATCAATATCTATTGGGACACCACAGCACCTGCTAAAAGCAGAGGAAGCAACCCTTCCCCCAATTTCCTCTGCGTGTCCCCTATTAATCAGGAGCTTTACAGAATAAAGCACAACCAAACCCTTTTCATGAAAAGCTAAGGAGAGTTCATCTTCAAGGGAGTAGAGAAATGGTTTAAATGTTTGTTTAAAGTTGACAAGCATTTTTTAATCACTTGGCTTGGAAAATTGGGAGGGGGGGAGAATCAGATGCTTCTTTCTTTAAAAAATGAAAGAAATTTAGCTATAAAAACAGCTAACTCTGAAACTCTTTCCTAGCCCCATTACATGGGAAGTTGTCTTTTATCCTTAATCAGAGATTGAGAATGTATGAGGAAAACAGTGATGTTGTGCCATATGTTAATCTAATAGCCTACAAAGGAACTACGAACATTGGGGGAGGCTGGAAAATCCACTTTCAAAATAACAGCAGGAACACTGAGAATATGACCAGTCAGATGCTTTCCTCCCCAACTTTCTGGCATGTAAGGAATGTAAACAGATTTTCTTATTGGAGTGAGCAGGGAAAAGATCAAGAAAGAGAGAGAGAGAAATCAAAATTAAATTAAACTATCAGCTCAATTTCTTCTACTACTCCCACTTTCCCTCTATGACAGTCATATTAAAGTGCATAACAGCAGCTACACTTTAAAAGAAATCTTACACATCCCCTTCTCCCTTGCAAGAAAAGGTATTCAAGTTAATACTTCTTTGCTAAAACATATTTCAACCGGTTTTAATGGACACTTTTTAGAACAACAACTTTTTTTTCAACTGGAGCAAAACAAAGCAAGACAATACTGTAAAGTCAAGTGCTTACTTCAGCTGTCCAGCCAGAACAGTTGTGTATACAGCACACTTGATTGTACAAAGCAACACCTTATAACAATTTAAAAAAAACCTGGAGCTTTTTCAATCCCCAGATGAATATAATATCCCCATATTTTCAGTCAACATCATATTTGTGGGAAAGAAGGAGAAACAATTGGGGGGGGGGGTTTAAACCAAGGTATTATGATTGACTAACAGGATCATTCATTATCTACACACCAGCTCTTGCAGTTGAGGCAAGAGATGCATCACTTCTGTTTTAATATCCTTCTCCAAAGGCCTTAAATTAAAAAAAGCAACAATCAAACAACTTAAGAGCTGAAATATATATATTTATATGTATGTATATAGATATATATATAGATAGATATATGTATTTTTCTTTAAATAACATATTTACATCTAATAGAAAATATAACTCTAGAGATAATTTTTTTCAACCAAAATTGAAATTGGTGGCAAGGTTGGGGTGGGGAGGGAGAGATAAAGAAAAGAATTAAGGACAGATGTTTGACAAGCAAGCCTGTCCCAAAAAGCTTTAAAATAAAAGTTTTTTTAAAAAAATCCCAATTCAGCCGACCTCTATCCAAAGCCTTTCAATGACTTCTCTGAAGGAATTCACCGCTTTTCTTTAAAGAACCCTTGGTCTGTGCTGCTCTCCTTGATGGTTACTGTCAAGAAATTGGATGTCACGTCAGTCACTACTACTTTCTCCAAATTGTTGAGAGATGGGCTCCAAGGTTCTTCTTCTGGGTCACCCAGGATCCGGGAGACAGGGATGCGGGCGATGAGAGAAGGCCTGCCAGCCTGCGTCCCTATGCCATCACGATATAAGCTGCCTTGGTTTGCAGAGCTATGCAAGATCTTAGAAGCCCCCAAGTCCAAACCACTTTGCCCTTTGGAATCCAGGAAATCCGCCCTGTGCTTGGTCAGTCTAGGAGGGTAAGTCTCAGGTGCACCCAGTTTCATTCCAGTTTCCGCCCTTGGGTTGGGAACAACACTGGGTAACTCAGGCTCTCGTCTCCGAGCTAACTGGATCACACTGTGTCCTGAACTGAATTTTGCTGTCCCAGAGTTATCTGTCTCTTCTAATTTTCTAGCTTTTAGGTAGTCCACCACCATCTTGTCGCCAGGCTCTATTGACTTCCGCTTTGAGGCAACCTCTGTCATTTCGGGCAGGTCTTTCCTGGGCTTTGGACCTCGTTTTTTGAAGGCGGCTTCAGATCGGTCTTCCTCTATCCCCACCCTGTTTTCCTGGATTGGCTCCATTCGAGGCATGCTGGGGGTAGAGGTGGTGGAGGTGCTTTGAGGGGGCAGTGGAATCTGTCTCAGTCCTTCTCTAGCCCGGGAAGTAGAGCCCAGTTCCTGGGGAGATCGTCCAGGATAAGGTACCCGGAGGCCCCTAGCAGAGTCACTACGGAATTCATATGTTTTGGCTTTGGCTTTGGCCTGGGCCTGCAAAAGAATGAAAGCAACTACACTTCTTTAGTCCTGTATTCCAACAATGTTGTCAAAACAAAGGCAGAGGGACCCCCTCCCCACACTCAAACACAGACATACACACACACATTCAGACACAGAGAGCAGAAAAGAAGTTGGTTCTTCATATTTTGACCTTTTAATTAAGAAAAAAAAGTTGCATTTTCCATTATGATCCCAGCAGAAACTCATAAAACACATGGCTCTTTGCACTTGTCTTTCTTACCTTTAAAAGGAAGGTTTTGGGTTTGGGGCCACGTTTCTTAGGACCATAAAGTTCCATTTCTCTTTCCCTATGTGCGGTTTTTAAGGGGGGGGAAACACAAATGCAGGCATTATGAGGACATAGAATGATTTAATAGTGCTCTAAAACACAGTTATGACACTAATAAAGCTGTAGGTTTTCCTCAAATAGACATACCTTTCCTCAAAAGCAGCAAGGAGGCGGGCATCTAGAATGTTTTCCTCAGGTTCCCAGGTGCTGTACCTAGCAAAAAGTAAAAGAAAGTCCAACAGAGAAGGAGGAGGAAAAAAAGAGAGAGAGAAAATAATCCCCCCCTCACGATGTTCCATAACACAGCAGTGGAGGATAGCTTGGGGGGAGGGGGGAGTCCCTCGGTCTACTCCACAAAGCATTATTTCCAGTCCTACTGCAATTTTTGCTACCAATCTACATTAGACTGCCCTGAGCTCTACTTACTTCTGAGACCAGCCTTTCCATTTCACCAGATATTCCATCCGACCCTGCAGTTGCCAAGAAGAAACAAATGAGCCCGCATTTCAGGAGAGCCTACCAAATTAAACGGCGCTACAATTTCATACTCGCTATGAAAACCAAAGGTGTTCCCGACCGCATGCGTCAATTACCCAAAAAAAAAAAAAAAACCCAAGCAGCCCCCAAAAGCATGCCACGAAAACGCAAAGGCAAAAAAAAAAAAAAGCTGCAAGGGCGGAAAAAATAAAATATCTCCATGCATGAAAAAGGGGCGTGCTGCAAGCCGGGTTCCAATAGATGCATGCAGAGCTGCGTGCAAAAAAAAAAAAAATAGCCGCAGCAGCCAAAAACGTGCATGCATTTAAGAGGTTGGAGGGGGGGAAGGGTCCGCGACGCTCGAGAGATGGTGGCAATCTGCGCAGCGCGAGCCGAAAGGGGGAGCGGCAGGCAGCAAAGCACTGCTGCAGAAAGGAGGGAGCCGCGCGGAGAGCCCCGCTCCTCTGCCTGCCTGCCTGCCTGCGGCCTCGGGCGGGCCTGGCGGGTTCGGTGCCGCGCGCACAAAGCCGAGCCTGCGCTGCCAGGCAGCGCCGGAGCACCTACTTTCCGGATGCGTCTCTTGAGCAAGGCCTCGGCCGCGAAGACCCTCTCGCCCACGGCGGAGAGCTCCATGTTTACTCGGCCGCTGGCAGCAGAAAAGCGGCGGCGGCGGCGGCAGCCAGCACAGCCCAGACCATAATAGTCCGCTCGCTGACGTCAGCGTTCGCCCTCCCTCGCCTCGCCTGTCTCCCTGCGCACTTGTTGCTGGCTTCGCTTGTCCGCCTGCCTTGCCCGCCCGCCTGCCCGCCCAGCCGCTCTTCTACGGGAGAGGGGCCGCTCTTGTCGAAGCCCTGGCTCGGCTCGGCTCGGCTCTTCCCCAGCCTCCCCTCCCCCCCGCCCCCGCCTCCTCGCGACGTGATCGGCGTTTCAATCACAAAGGGGCGGAGCCAAAGGAGTAGGGATCCCGGAGGGGGGCAGGGAAGCTGCGTCCCCAGCAGGGGGAGCTGGGAGGGGGGGAACCTCCGGAGCGGCTGAGGGGGAGAGAGCGAGGCGGAGGGGGTCTTCAGCTGTCTGGAGGGGGAGGCAGGGGGAGGGGAGCGGGAGCCCCCTCCCCACCTCTCCTCCTCCTCCTCCTTCATATCCCTCCTTGCTCACCACACTCCTCCAATCCGCTAGCCCAATTCCAGTCCCCTCCCCTCCGTGTGTTTCTGGGGGGGGGAGAATAAATCAATGGCATTTATAGAGCCTGGAGACAGGCGAAGCTTTTCTTTCTTTTTTAATCGACTTCCTTACTCCAGCTAAATAAACAACGACCAGCCCCCACCCCACCCTAGCCTGGAAAGACCCCCCCCCTACAAGTAATAAGGAGGCGGAATAATACAGGATCATCGAGAAGAGGAGGTGCCCCAGCCAGATTAATCTGGGAGAGAGGAGGAGGAGGAGGCCAAGTTAACCCTGGGATTCGCAGGATCTGGCCATTGACGCATTAGGAATTCGATCTTGAGCATTGGTTCTGGAGCCCGGTGGGTTGAATGTGTTGCAAAAAGCGGAGGGAGGAGACACGCCGACCACACAACACTGTTCCTTCTCCCTCGGCTGACGCCTCTCTTCAGAGTGAGCGGGTGGGGGAGAGCCAGAATAACTGAGGTTCCGAAACTGCCCCCCCCCTCTTGCTCCAGCCCGTCGACTTTCCTGAAAGGAGACGTGGGTGGGTGGACACCCACGCGCATAATGAGCTGAAATGTCGAAGCAGCCGCCCAGAGCGCCCTCCCCCGTCTCATTTCTAGTGGTTCCGGGGAGAATCGCCTCCTCCGAACTGTCCCTCGTAGATCCAACTAGACCGGGACTTTTCTCCGACAGTCCCTTGGATCTATGCAAATCTCTAGGAAGAGCGAGCGCCTCCCAGGCTCCACTTCGGTGCGTTCCGCTAAAGTAACCTACCCGTCTCTCTGCTTTCCCGCTGGTGTGCAATTTCCCCTTCATCTGTCATTCTGCAGAGGAGTGGAGAAATGCAACTATTTTTCCTTTCAGTGCAGCGTTTTGAGCTAAACTCGGTGAACGTTGACTTCAGCCTATTTTCTGGGAGAAGCATAAAGACGCGGGGAGATGAGCGAAAGACACGGGTGTGTTTACCTCCTACTGTAGCTCATAACTTATGTCCAGGGAGAAAAGCTACTTACCCACCGAAAAGCATGTTGGTCTTTCCACTCTAAGCCTCTGAGTTTAGCGCTTTGAGTCACATATCGGTAGTTAGGAAAAACTTCAATGAACATCAAGAATCTTTGTTCCCCAGTAAATCCTGGTGAGATCACGGACATACCTATATATTTGCTTGACCCTAAGAGTTCTTCAGACTCCTGGGAAACCGTGGGCTTCCCAGACGTGTTCCTTACGTGTAGAAATGCTAGATGTGTTCAATAGATGTATTTGTGTGCAGAAATCGCTGTCACGATCTATCCCTGCCAACAATCTAATTGTCCCGGATCATTTTGATTTGCATCTAAAAAAAAGCTTAAAGTGAGTCCTGTTCTACTCTGCTTTTCTGCTTCGAAGCAGAGAGGATCTCGGACTAAGTTTTGTACTCTACCACACGATTTTCTGAAGCTGATGGATTGGCATGAAAACCAAAGAGTTCATAGAAGTATACCAGCTCAGGCAATAGTTTTATCATAATATCTAGAAATTCTACAATGTACTTAACTCTCTACGATCGAATACATTAAAATAGGAAACCAAGTCTTATCATCAGTTAATCAGTGTTTGCAATTTTAACACACTTCCGGGTGTGTCTGTGAAGGCGGGGAGGAACGAGGAATCTATTTGCAGGCTGTTTTGTTTTGTTTTTAAAGGCAACCGAGGCATCTTCCCTTCTAAAACGCCAGTTCTGAATTACAAAGTCGACTTTCGCAGCAACAAAAAGCAGTAGCAGCAATCCAGCTGTTTCTGCTTAAGTTGAAATACTTTCCAACAGTTTGGGCAGTGAAAATAAAGTCGACTTCAAGAGTCTATAATGCGCGGTTCTGGTTTCCTAACTCTTAAGTACCTGGGGGTAGGTTATTCGCTAGTCTTCTAGAGAGAGCGCGACTGGGTGGGAGAAAGGAGAATGGCGACGGGGTAGGGAAAAGTGTGGTGTAGGTCAGGTCCCACCCGGGTCTGGAGGTCGGGAAGAAACTGCCTGCCGATCCCATCCTTAAAGGCGCGAGCACTCACCCAACAAGTTCTCCCAATTTTTGAGCCTCACCACCAACTTTGGGTGAGTCTCCTCACTGAACCGTTTACCAGATCTCATTTCGATCCGCCAAACTCTTAAGAACACTAACGCCTCTTCAAGAGTTCAGGTATTTGCTCTAAAGAGATATTTTGCTGTATTTCCTCCCTTCTTGCCCGTTAACTATATTTACCTTTTGACGCTTTGAAGAGACTCGAAGGATTAGGAGACGTGGGAGGAGAGAACGAAGGCAGAAACAATTTTCTATTTTGTGTTTTGAAGGGTGTGTGTGTCTGTTTTTGCACTTTTCGGTGAAACCTATACAACAATGATCCTCTCAAAGCGAATGTTGGTCTTCGCTTTCTAGTGATTCCGGAATGAATCGCAGCCCTTTTGTGTCGCACCAGGAACCGGACTGCGGGGGAGAAGGGACACCAATAGCATCCTAGCATAGTGTCATGCTTGTGGGAACTTAAAACACGAAAACAATCGGATGGGAAGCGAGGGTACGACCTAGGCAGCAATTTCCCCCAAAGGAGTGAGGTGTTGGTTCCAGATGAAACACAAGATAAAAAAGAATTCCGTTTTTCTCGACACTGTCCCAATGCCCACCTCTAGCTTCCGTGCCTCAGCAGGGGGAAGGGGAACAAGGGCTCCACCATATGGGACCACTCGTCAAACTTGCCAGTGTAGCAATTTTATAACCCCCTTAAATCTCTAGCATAGTGGCAGATATTGGGAACAAAGGGTAGCAACAGAATCTTATATCGCGCCTATATAAGTCGGACAATTGGAGGTTGTTCAACTGTACCTCTTGAGTAGCCCTGGTTCACTCACGTGTACCTGCTTGATTCCTTTTCGTTTCTTCCTCCGGCTCAACAGGGTACAAATTAGAAAACATTTCGCAGTCTCTATCTCTGTCTCTCTCTGTCTCTCTCTCTCTCTTCCTCCCTCCCTCACACTCACTCACTCACTCACTCACTCACAGGCGCGATTTCCAAAAGTAGAAAGATTGCTGCTGGCTCCACCAAGCGTCAATCTCCGTGCGTCTCTGCTTGGATAAATAAGGTAAAGCTTTCTCTTCCGCTAGGTTGTCTCTATCTGCTTACAATTTTGACCGTTTCGGATCGAGTCGGCGGGTCTGGTGAACGTGGACATAAAATGCTTTCACCACTGCAATTGTATAAAGAGAAAACGGCAGCGGATCCATTTGCACCATTATTATTAACCGCTTGGTCCATGTACCTGCCTGCCCGCCTCCAATTCGCCCGGCCTCCTCCCTCTCGCTCCCTTTGTGTGTATCCCCACAGCCACCGAAGGCGATGCGCGTGGTCGCGCAACACCTGTTTCTTTCCAGGACTCTTAGCTTTTCCTCTCTCCCAGCCGAAACCGAGGACGGGAAAGTGCTAGAGCTCGGGAGAATCAGAGAGCAGCTGCCGGGTTACGCTTTCATCCTGGGATCGCCTCCCTGCCTGGCACCGGGAAAAACCATTTGGCCAGAGACAGTCGCGGTGGGAATGGATGAGGGCCGCCTGCCGAATCTCTCTCCAGCCACCTGCCCCTTGAGAGGGACGCCAGCCTATGGAACCCGCGTGTCTAGGAGCAACGGGGGGAGGAAGGGAGAAATCTCCCGGTCCTGCGGCGGAAAGCGCGGCGGGAGGACCTGCTCTTTCAGCCAGGAAACGAGTCTCCGCGGAGATCGGTGCTGCGCGCCTGCGCGCCAGCCGGGCTCGGAGAGAATGCGCGTTGGTGGGTTGCCGGCTCCGTGGCCCGAGGTCACTCCATTAAAGCCCGACTAGGAGCAATTGCTATATACTGGCGGAGGGGCACGATCGGTTTTGACCTCGTCCCCAACGACAAAATAAGGGACAGCAGCCTTCTCCCCAGAGAAAAAGATGTCCAAATTTAGCAATCGGGGACCATTTAACACCTAGAGGGAGAAAAGGTTCTGTGAAATTCAGACATTTACACACACCTCCTTACGGGATCAAGATGGAAAAGTCTTTTTAAAAAGGAAGGAAAATGTAATCGGAATGGGGAATAGAAGGGACAACAAACAGTCCGCACTGTATATTGCTTCTTTGCCGAGTATGAATAGTAAAGGTAGTCCTCAACTTACGACCACAATTGAGCCCAAAGTTTATGTTAAGTGAGAAAATTGTTAAGTGAGTTTTGCCCGGTTTTACGACTTTTCTTGCCACCTTTAAGTGAATCACTGCATATTTTAAATTAGCAACAGGGTTGTTGATTGAATTTGGCTTCCCCATTGACTTTGCTTATCAGAAGGTCGCAAAAGGAGATCATCTGACTCTGGAACACTGCAACCATCATAAATGTGAGTCAATTGTCAAGCCTCCAAATGTAAATCACGTAGCCTCGGGGATGCTGCAATGGTCATAAGTAAGAAAAATGGCCATAAGTCCATTTTTTTTTCACTGCCACTGTAACTTTGAACAGTCATTCCATGAACTGTTGTAAGTCAAGGACTACCTGTAGTAATAGCTGGGGAAGGGAAGACATGCTCCAGTGCAAACTTTGGCCCCTGATACAGCAATATCTGCTCCCTTGCCAGGCACCCTGCTTGCCAGATCTTCCTT